TCGGCCCATCCCAGTGCCCACCTGGCCGGACATGGCGCCAGGCCGGCTGCCTCCTCAGCACGGCGGCAATAGGGTGCCAAGGCGAGAGGGAGGCGAGGAAGGCGAATGGCTCCTCTGGGGCCCGCAGTGCCATCTGTGGGGAGATGGCCGCCAGCTGAGCCCAGCAGAGCCCCCAGCCCTGCCGCGGGAGTGAGCAGGGGGCCCCTGAGCCCAGCCCAGTGTCCAAAATGGTGCAAGAGGCTCAAAAAAGCCTGACATGAGGGAAAACAATGTCTCTATTGGCTCATGCAAGCAGCCAGAGCCTGACCCGGTGCTACCTGGCCCCGGCGCCATGGCCCAGGGCAGGGGGAAGGAGCTGCCATTTTTGGGAGGTGGCCTCTCCCTCAGGGGTGTGATGCCGGGGCCTGGTGAGGCTCAGCCTCCCGGCAGGGTCGACTTCAACCCTTCCAGGGTGGGGACTGAGCAGCTAAAAGCTTATTACTGTTCCCCTGGGTTGGCCCTGTGCTGTCTCCATGATGAGGGGTGTCAGTGTAGACCAGGGGCCATGGTGGTGGGACTGCACCCCATGGCAGCCTTTCAGGATGGTGGAGGCGGCTGCCTGAGGGGCAAAGAGCTTTCATCTCCCCCCCACCTCTGAAAAATGAGGCTTGGGCATTTAAACCGTTGCTTCTCCAAATGTGCCCCCAGGTGCTCCCAAACAAGCTCTTCCCCACAGCTTGCACTGTCTAGGTCACCCCCTGCCTCTCCTTCCCCACGGCTCCATTTCCCCCTGCCTCGTCCCAGCTCACCCTGCACGCAACTCCATCCCAAACCCGGGGCGCCCGGTGTGAGACACCCTCCCCTGGGCAGGCGATGTGGTACAATGGAAGGGAGAAGGGACACAGGACCCTGATGGGCTGCAGGATCCCACGGGGGGACGGGGTGCCGTACAGCCCGTCTCTGCTGCAGGGAGACGGAGGGCGTCCCCAGCACTGCGATCCGAGAAATCTCACTGCTGAAGGAGCTGAAGCACCCCAACATAGTCAGGTAAGACCTGGATGAACCCTCCCCACCAGCATATTGACGAGCTCCTGCTCATCCCCATGGGGAGCTCTGGGTACAGGCAGCAAAAGGGGCCTTCCAGTCCTTCCCTGACTGCACAGAAAGGAGCAAAATAAACAGGAAAATGCAGGAATCACTTGCACTTCCCTGATTTGCAGCAATAGCCCACAGCACTGCCACTTTACTCCAGCAACACAGGCTGGTCCAAGCTGCTGCTGTCCCATACTAGATGCTGCTTTTATATCTGCCTCTCTGCTCCAAAGGACTCACAGAGCAGAAGCACCTGTGGGAGGAGGGATGTTTGGGTATGTTTGGGCAAAGGTCTGGAGAAGGTCTTCCCACACACTCCTGCATAGCATGGATTCCCACACAAAGGTACTGAAAGGGAGTGCTTGCACTTCTTTTGCAGGCTCCTGGATGTTGTACACAGCCAGAAGAAGCTCTATCTGGTGTTTGAGTATCTGAATCAGGACCTGAAGAAATACATGGACTCATCCCGACCTGGAGAGCTTCCTTTAAGCTTGGTCAAGGTACAATGTGGAAGGAACACTAACGGGCAGGGCAGAGAGTGTGTGAACTTGCTGCCTTCTGCTGGGCAGAGCCAGCACTGAGCTGCTCTTACCCAGACTGCATCTGGAAGAGATTCATCCTTGGCTGGAGGCATTCAACCTCTCAGATGTCAAACATTTCAGCTGGGAAAACCTCCTGGCACTATTGCTCAGTGCATTTGTTTCCCAGCTGTTTCCAGGCTCTTCAGCCCATCTCGCTGCAGAACAAACTGCTGTTAAGAGGACAACTGAGGAT